ATATATATATATATATATATATATATATATATATATGAGACACCTAAAAAGCTGTGCAAGTTTAATGTGTACAACTTGATGACTTGATGATTTTGGAGATACGTATACACCTATGAAACCATCACTACAATCTGTATCATAAGCATTATCCATAACCTCCAAAAGTTTCCTCCTACCTTTTTTATCTATTATTATCGTCATCTATATGATAAGAAAACATAAGATCCCCTCTTAGCAATTTTTTAAGCATACATTACTTCTGAAAAAACTAAACATATCCTTATCATACAATCCAGCAATTGCACTCCATAGTATTTTCTCAAATAGGATGAAAAGATATGTAGATGCAAAAATGCACATGAATGTTTACAGCATCTTTATTCAGTATTGCTAAAATTTAGAGTCAAACAAGATGTCTTTTGGTAGGTGAATAGATAAATAATCTGTGGTACATCTAGACAATGTAATATTACTCAATGCTAAAAAGAAATTAGCTTTCAAGCCATGAAAAGACATGGGAGAATATTAAATGCATGTAGATAAATAAGAGAAGCCAGCCTGAAAAAGTTACCTATTCTATAATTTCAGCTATATGACTATGGAGATGGTGAAAAGATCGGCAGTTGCCAGATGTAAAAGGCAAAGATGAGATGAAACAGTAGAGCACGTAGATTTTTAGGGGCAGTGAAATTACTCTGTATGATACTGTTGGTTGATATATGTCACTATGCATTAAAAATCCATAGAATGTACACCACCTAGAGTGAACCCTAATGGAAATTATGTGTTTTGAGTGATAATGATGTGTCAATGTAGGCTTATCAGTTGTAATAAATATACTACCCGGGTGGTGGATGTTGATAAATGGAGGAAGCTATGCATGTATAGGTGGATATATGGGAAAAATCTGCCCCTTATCATCAATATTTCTGTGAACCTAAAAATACTTTAAAAATAAAATATATTTTAAATGTTTGGAAAGGCAAAATTTAAGCTAAGTATAAATAATTAGGAGTCAGCAATGTAAAGTTCTAGAAGAATTGTGTTATAGGCAGAGGAAACAGTGTGAAGCCTTGAAAGTGTAATGATCTATATGGTTAAATACAGAAAGAAATCCAGTGTGACAAGAGCATGGTAGACAATTTTGCTACCACATGAAGGCAGATAAGTAGTCAGAAGCCAGATAATTAAAGGCAATATAAGCTAGAGCAAAAAAAAAAAAAAAAAAAAAAAAGAAAGAAAAAGAAAGCAAGCAAGCTTATGCTAAATGTGACATCAATACACTAGAAGACTTAGAGTAATGGAGGAACATGATTTCTGTGTTGAGAAGGGGTGTTGGGTGGTTACAAGAGTTGAAGTAGGCGGTTTTACCTGCATTTAGGGGGCTTTGGGATTTCCAAGTGAAATATAATGGCTGATTGGACTTCTAATGTAAAAGTGGTATAAATGGAGTGAACAATTTAAATATTGGCGGTAGCCAGGCAGGACTTAATAATAGATAAGCATGGAGAAATAAAATAATTGTGAATGACCCACCAATTTTTGATTGAGTCAGAAGTCGTCATTTACTGAGTTGGTGAATACCTGGGGAAAACAGGTTTGGGTGGAGAGGTATTGGGCTCTCTTTGAGACTTGTTAATTTTGAGATGTCTAATACAGGATTCAGGGCACCTGGGTGGTTCAGTGGGTTTAAGCATCTGACTCTTAGTTTCGTCTCAGGTCATGATCTCACAGTTCATGCATTCAAGCCCTGCATCAGGTTCTGTGCTGACAGTGCAGAGCGTGCTTGGGATTCTCTTTCTCCCTGTCTGTCTGCCCCTCCTCCGTTCACTGTCTCTGTCTCTGTCTCTCTCTCTCAAAAATAAACTTAAAAAAAAAATAAAATGAAGGATTCAGCAGAATAAGAATGATGTGTAAAGCCATGGGAATACATGGAATAAATATAGAGAAATACATAGACAGAAAAGAGGGGCTAGGATAAAAAGACATTGTAACTGGAACTCCAAGAGGTTCCTGGGGGACCTTCATGCATTTCAGTAGAATGGTAAAGACAGGAGCTCAGTTATTATTGTACTATACATTAAATTTTAACCTAAAAGTTGACTTTTGAATACTATGTTAGACAATAATCTAAGGGCTTTTTTTAAAGGAATAGGGGATTTTAAAAAGTTTTAGTGTTTATTTTTGAGAGAGAGAGAAAGGAAGAGAGACAAGCATGAGTGGGGGAGAGTTGGCAGACAGAGAGGGAGACACAGAATCTGAAGCAGGCTCCAGGCTCTAGGCTCTGAGCTGTCAGCACAGAGCCTGATGTGGGGCTCTCACTCGCGAACCATGGGATCATGACCTGAGCCAAAGCTGGAAACTTAACTGAGCTACCCAGGCTCCCCTAGGGGATTTTAAATGATTCCCTAAATCCTCAGAGAGATGCAAACATTTTCAGAAAATTTTGAAAATCTGAATATAGTATTTTACTATAAAGCAAAGGGAGAAAAAGAATGATTTTCCTGGAAGAGGGAGAGAATAGTGGGACAGGATTTAACTCTATGTCATTACAACTGAGTCAGATCTGCAAGGTAGGGCAGCCTGGAAGACCATAAATTACAATAGCCATGAATCCTTGAGTAGTTGATGTAGGGGAACAGGGCCAATGTTTAAAGACCAGGCAACATAATTATACTTCTGTTCACAGAAAGCTAGCTCTTGAAAGTATGTGGAATAGGAGTATCAAGGAGAAGCTTTATTTTGTATTCAGAATTTATATTGGGATGCATAAAAGTGAAAGAAAGTCACTTAGCAAGTTCTGCAACAATGTTGAGTTTATCTGAGAGAAAATGTTAAAGAAATTTAATTTCCACTAATTGGGCATTCAGAGAGTTTTGCATTGTGCTTTATATTGGTTTTTTTTTTTATTTTTTGTCACATTAATAGGGCTTATGGATCACAAGAGAGTTTAACGTAGTTATAAAAATACAAAGTTAATTATTTTCATATATAAAAAATATGTAAATGCTTTCACTCTGTTAGACCCTGTTGAATTCTGGATAATTTGGTTTTGTATATGTATTAGCAATTTATCAGGTGTCTCTTTAATATGACTTGTTTAAATTTACTTACGGTGCGGGGCACGTGGGGTGGGTCAGTCGGTTGAGCATCTGACTCTTTATTTCAGCTCAGGTCATTATCTCATGGTTGTGGGGTTGAGCCCCATGTTGGTCTCTGTGCTGAGCATGGGGCCTGCTTGGGATTCTCTCTCTCTCTCTCTCTCTCTCTCTCTCTCTCTCTCTCTCTCTCCTCTCTCTCTCTCTCTCCCCCCCCTTTTCTCCTTCCCCACACACCCCCAAAAATAAAATAAATAAAATAAAAAATAAATTTACTTACCTTGGTAATTTGGAAAAGTTTGATTTTCCTGTCTTAAATGGAGAGAAGTTGGCTACTATATTCTGTTTAAAGAAAAAAAACCCCAACAAACTCTTGATAATTGTTAGTTTCCATGTATCAAAACTCAGTCTCCTCTCTCATGATAAGTAATTCTAATTAACCTTTTTGTTGATACTTTTAAAGTCTTCATTCTTGTGTTATTGTTACCAAATTCATCAGTAATTTCTATAATGAGAAAGCCCTAAGTAAATTCTACTCAATTCTACCAAATTCCAGCAAAACATACTCGGCAGATGACACAGATTTTTCTAAGAATCGTATATTTCAATTCAAACCTCAAATTGACTCAATTATTGTTTAATCCAGTTTCGCTTAAAAAACAAAATTAACTTACCAAGTGTGTTTGTCTTGGCTTGGATGTGGAATTTAATTTCCATCAACCTGGTGTGGCTGTTTACGCTTCAGGGATGACGGTATAGGTTCACAAGGAAGCAATTCTTTTCTTCCTTCCTTCCTTCCGTATTTTTTTGAAGAATGCTACTTTTAATTTGTATTTGTTTGAAAGACTTTCTGAAATTTTTTTGACTTCCTCTGATACACCTATAGTTCTTTATTTAAATCTGTGGATGCAGCTTCACAGTTTGATTATATAGATTGTCTACCTCCTTGGATTTTTTTGAAGTCTTGATATATTTTTTTTTTTTTTTTGCTATCCACAGATCCAGTGTCATTAACTTCTACATCCTGTTTTGAATATTCTTCTTTGAACATTTCTAGGGATTTTTCATTGAATCCTTCATATCCCCAAACTTAGCATACGTATCCTCCAAGTTCTTCATTGAATCATCTCTTAATTTTTCTTTTCTTCTTTATATTTTTATGATTTTATGAGTCTTTCTTTGTATTCTTCTTTGCTCCATTTTAAAAATTATTTGATTCTTTGAGGCCCCCTGTCACTCATAGATTTGGTATCAGATTGCTAAAATTGTTTTATCGAACGTGCTTTTGAATTTTATCCAAGGCCTACTTGCCTTTCTTTGCCTTTGCATCCTTCTTTGCATCCTTCTTTGCATCCTTTTTATCCTTCTTTGCATCCTTCTTTGCATCAGGAGATTCTGTGTCAGTATCTTTCTTGGCATCTTTCTTGCCATCTTTCTTGGCATTCTTCTTGGAATCTTTCTTGGCATCATCTTTTGATTCAATATCTGTCCCACTAGGCTTTTCATCTTTCTTCTCTTTTTTACTCACCTTTCTCTTTGCATCTTTCTTGGATTCTTTCTTGTCTTTTGACTCATCATCTTTTTCTCCCGGTTTCTTTGAATCTTTTTTCCCATCCTTATCCTTCTTGGCACCCTTCTTTTCATCTTCAGATTCTATACTTGATTCTTTGCTCTTTTTTGAATCTTTCTTATCTTTCTTGGCATCTTTCTTTGAATTCTTTTTTTCACCTTCAGATTCTGTACCTGACTCCTTGCCCTTTTTTGAATCTTTCTTTTCTTTCTTGGCATCTTTCTTTTCACCTTCAGATTCTGTACCTGACTCTTTGTCCTTTGAGTCTTTCTTATCTTTCTTGGCACCTTTTGTGGCCTCTTTCTTTTCACCTTCAGATTCTATACCTATCTCCTTGTCCTTTGACTCTTTCTTATCTTTCTTGGCACCTTTCATGGCCCCTTTCTTTTCACCTTCAGATTCTGTACCTGACTCCTTGTCCTTTGAATCTTTCTTTTCTTTCTTGGCACCTTTCTTGGCATCTTTCTTTTCACCTTCAGATTCTGTACCTGACTCCTTACCCTTCTTTGAATCTTTTCTTTCTTTTTTGGTATCTTTTTTTGCACCTTTTTGTTCCTCTTCAGATTCTGTAGCTGACTCCTTACCCTTCTTTGTATGTTTCGTCTCTTTTTTGACATCTGTTTTTGCAACATCTTTTTCACCTTTAGTTCCTGTTTCTATATCCTTATCTTTCTTTGACTCCTTCCTAGTTATTAGTGGCCCCTTTGAAACTGTGGATTCTGATTCTGATTCTGATTTGTCTCTCTTGTCTGCTTTCTTGTGTTCTTTATCTTTCTTACCTCTTGCTGGAGATACAGGTTTGTGTACATCTGCTACTTTAGCAACCTCCTTGGGGTGATGGGTTGGTTTATGTTGGGGCCATATCCTGGCAGCTAAATAATCAGATGGTCTTTCAGAAATTCTCATTAAAGAACTGTGCATCCATAACGGTCGTTTAGGACCTTCTCTTAATTTCTCTTCATCATATTTCTGAAATATTGGTTAGAATAATGATGAACAACTTGTGTGCAAGTTACACAGCCTTTATTACCAGATATCAAATACATTTTAACTTCAACCATTAAAAGATTTTAGATTTTGATAAGTGGATACATTGTAGATCTCATAGTTTATTTTGCTTTTCTAATTTCATTCTTTTTATGACTAATTGATATTCATGTATTATTGTGGGCCTTATTTCAATTTAGAGGATCTTCATAATTCCCTCAAGATATTATGTTAAAATTGGTAGAGACCTCCACTGACTAATGACATATCAGAATTTCTGATTTCACAATCAGGGAGGCTTTTTTTTCCTCAGTGTTCTGGAGAATTCTTAAAATATTCTGCCCACTCTCCATTACTAGGCAACTCAGAAACTATTCTCTAATAGTTTCATGTTCAGGCATATCCTGTTCTCTATTATCACATTCAAGGTCTCTGGAATTTGGATTGCTACATGTGGTTAAAAGTACAAGCCTAAAACTGCTACTGTTTGGCAAGGTATAAATTGATATCTTTCAGATAGGAAATTACAATGATAAAATCTGTAACATTCAGTGCAAGTAAATTTGTGCAGAATGGTACATTTTATTTTCAACTCCTAACCAAGTATTTGTAAAATCTTAATTGCAAAAAAAGCAAACTTTGCAAGTAATGATAACAAATAATGGAAAAATAAATTGAATAAAGAAAGAAAGGAAAAGCAAAGAGTGTGAGATTACAGAATAAGCTAGGATCTCTACTGATTAGAAACACTCCCTAAAACAAACAAGAGTTGATACATTTATCTTGTGAAAGTTTTTTTTTTTTTTAACATTTCATATCGCATGATGACTCCACACACATTAAGAAATATTTATCTTCAAGTATTCAGAATACTGAATTCTACATTGAAGAAGTATTAAAACTTCATCAGGGTATAATATAACCCCACAACTTTAATGAGGGAGTTTCTCTAGCTAGGGCACATTTTCTGAATGTTCTTATTAACTGCAGTATTAGGATCCTCAGATTTTTGTGCTTCTTGAACACACATTTTTATAGTGTGGTGTTACTAAAGAAATAATATGAAATAAGAGGCCAATTTTTATACAGTGAAATGAAAATAAAATATATCTACTTTTGTCAAGTAGTAGAGTTTGAATTACCTTTAACTGTGCTGTCCAATATGGTATATAAGCCTCAAGAGAAATGAATTGAGATGTAAAATTGAATTCCTCAGTTGGACTAGCCTCTCAAAATGAATGTTCAATAGCTAAATTGGAATGCAAAGACATAAATATTTCCATCACCACAGAAATCCCATTGGTCAGCACTGATCTGTAAAACACACAACTATACATGATTTCACAAGTTTATCACTAGTAAGATTATATGATCTTTTCAATACTCACAGGAGCTGTATTGTCTCGTAGTTGAGATGGTTTTGATCTCCTTTTTTTTCCTGGCCGTGGTGGTTTGGGAAATACCAGGGCAAAGTGTTGCTGATTCCATGATTTTTTGCTTAATTCACTGACTAAAATAAGAAAATATTTAACAAACATTTTAGAGTAAGTAGAATTTCATCAGAACTAAAACAGCAGTAAGATAATAGACTTCATGAATAAACAAATGATACGAATTATGGCTTCATTTATTTTATTAATATTTGGAATTCTCTGCTATCAGTACATGAAAATAAAGATTTATTTTTCTATTTTGATCAGTTTTACAGATAACTAGTCATTGTAAAACTAATATAGTCTGGGATATAAATGCAAAGAAACATGTTTACTGCTTTCTTATAATCTTTCTGTCTCTCCAGGTCTGGATTCTTGCTATAGATTCTTTAGGTTAGAATAAATTCTATTGAGATCAGAAAATATGGTAACTACTTCTGTAGCCTCCAAAGTACTTAGCACAGTACTTGTTATAAAATATTTCGTAAATATATGATTGAATCTAAATGCTACTGCTTAAGATTCCTTTAGTTAGTAATTTTCCAAGTTACAAGAGTAAATGTTGTACACTTAATAACAGCATTGTTGTTATTGGGTGATGGGTATTAAGGAGGGCATTTGTTTTGATGAGCACTGGGTATTATAAGTAAGTGATGAACCACTTAATTCTACTCCTGAAACCAATAGTACACTATATGTTAACCAACTAGAATTTAAATAAAAATTTGAAAAAAATGTAAGTGGCATATTAATGAAAAAATCTAACAAATTAAGAGTACCTATAGAATTGTGACTGTGAGGGTAAAGTTACCTGGAAACTATGAGAGAATGGTTTAGAGACATTTAGGGTACAAATGAAACTAGTGAGAGATTATCACTGCATTTAAACACGTGCAGTAGTAGTACTTTGTGTAAGAGAAAATATACTTTTCCCATGAGTCTCCTGAAAACAGGATCGATGAGAAAATATACAGAATGAAAGAGATATTTAAGCTCACTATATGAGGGAAAATCATTTGATATATGAAGGCCTTCAACATCAGATTGTTGGGTTTTTGGCCTATTATCAGGAGGATATAGTCTAGCAGGAATGTAGTACAAGTCATTGTGGATATTGGTGAATTTATCCAGTTTCTAGACTACTTTTCAACTGTAAGATTATCTGATTTTTTATTTCTAACATGTATGATTTCTAACATAACACCTTTATGTTGCTGAACCTATTTGCTTAAACTTTGTTTGATTTAAAAACAAAATATCTTAGAAAGTGTTTGCTGAGTCCATGAGTAAGGTGCCTTATAAGTAAAAGGGTTTATTTTTAATAATATTCTGTAAGAGCTCTTGCTTTATCCCTTTTAATAGAGGATAATAATCACTTATCCTTAAAATAATCATAATCCTAAAATTAATCATGTTTCAAAAGTAAATATTAAATTCTTTCTTACCTGGAATGTAATTATCATATGTTCCAAAGTTTATTTTTTGGCTATTAAAATAAGAGGGAAAGTTTTTAATTAATTTATATATAATCACTCTAATGATCACTATTATGTGTAAGCACTGGCCATCACCAACTAGAGAAATATTTTGCATTCTCAGATCTCTACTATTATGTAAGATTACTTCACTCTAGAAGAAACAGAAATGAGTACATGTGTGTCTTTTGCACAAACTTTAACATAACTAAAACAAAGTAGATAAAAAACAATTTAGAAAGTTACCAAATTGCCATATCTGAAATATAAACTTTAAAAAAGAATTGTGACATCATAGTTGAATTATTTTTCTCTGTCTCATGCTCCAGATTCACTTGCAATTGAATTTTAGCAAATATGTCACTTTAAAAGCATTACTTAAGCAAAATCAGATCCTCAAAATATTCTCAGAACTTAAGCAAATCTGAACCATTCAATGACATACTTATATGTGTGTGAATGTGTATGTGTGTCAGTGTGCACCATAAGTATCGATACGGATTTTTATTTGTTTTAATTTTTGTTCTTCAGGAATATCTGAGAAATAAAAACTGTTTTGCAAAGTATTTTTCATTTAAAAGTTTCCATTTGTTTCAGTACTATATGAGCATGTTTGCTCCCACAAAGGGGAATTTTATTATATAATATTTGCATTGGAGGCATACATTAATATTTCATATAAAAAGGTTATTTTAGACATTTTTTAAATGTTTGTTTAGTTTTGAGAGTGAGAGAGACAGAATTGGAGTAGGGGAGAAGAGAGAGAGAGAGATATAGACTCCAAAGCAGTCTTCAGGGTCTGAGCTGTCACCATAAAGCCTGATGTGGGGCTCGAAGTCATAAACAGTGAGATCATGACCTGAGCCCAAGTCAGATGCCCAACCCACTGAGCCACCCAGGTACCCCTAAAAAATGTTATTTTACAGCATCTCATTGCATTACAAAAATAAAGCCATTGTTGATCGTGTGTGAGTTTGGGGCTTACAGACATGCATAAACACACACACACACACACACACACACACACACACACACACATACACAGGTTCTTACTTATTTTGACATTATATAAATATTAAGAATTAAGTACATAGTAAAATTAAAAAAAAAAACAAAACAAAATGGTGAGTAAACAAAAAGCAGAACCAGATCCATAAACAGAACTAACTAATGGTTTGTGGGGGAAAGCAAAATGGGTGAAGGGGAGTGGGAATACAGGCTTCCAGTTGTGGAATGACTAAGTCACTAGAATAAAAGAGAATAAAAGGCACAGTATAGGGAATATAGGCAATGATACTGTAATAATGTTTTATGGTGACAAATGGTAGCTACACTTGGGATGAACACAGCATAATGAATAGAGAAGTCTAATGTACACCTTAATGTAACATTGCATGTCAACTGTACTCAAAAAAATTGAAAAATAAAGTACATTAAAATAAGTATCTTGATATTTTTATTTGGGCTCTATTTCCTAGCACAAAACTTGGCACATTTTTGTCACTCTATAAAAATTTAAATGACTTTAATTGAATAAAATTTAGGATGTATTAACCAATAAGTTATCGGGTTTAGTTTTTTTTTTTTAAGCTTTTACTTAAATTCCAGTTAACATACAGTGTAATATTAGTTTCATGGTTACAATATAGTGCTATCACACTTCCATACATCACTCAGTGCTCATCACAACAACTGCACTCCTTAATTCCGATCACCTATTTAACCTACTTCACCACCCATCTCCCCCTGGTAACCATCAGTTTGTTCTCTGTAGTTAAGAGTCTGTTTCTTGGTTTACCTCTCTTTTTCTTTAACCTTTGTTCATTTGTTTCTTAATTTCACATATGAGTGAAATCATATGGTATTCGTTTTTCTCTGACTCATTTCGCTTAACATAATACTCTGTAGCTCCATCCACACAGTTGGGTTTTGTTGCTGGTGATGGTTTTTCTTTTTAACTGAGGACATGCATTAAAATCACTTGTCCTGTTGTATCTGAATCTCTAAGTCTGGATCTGGCCAATCTGAATCTCTAGGATTGGATCTAGCCAATGTATGTTAATATATTGCTGAAGAAATTTTGATGTTCAGCTATGGTTATGAACATCTCTGTTTTAAATACTCTGAAAGAGGAAATATTTCAGATTCAGGAAACAATATTAAATTTGTGATTTAAAATGTACATAGGCATGATCCATTTATTCCTTGTATAATTTCTATAGTTCTTTAATCAACAAGTAATTGAATTAGAAATCAAAGTCACTATATAGAAAATATACAATTTTTAAAAAAAATCGTTCTTCTAAATAACCTATCATCAAATCACAGTGCACATTTACAAAAAGAAACAATAACATAGTATCAAATATTGTGAACTACAGTTCACAAAGCAGAATTTATAATTTTAATGACTGGTATTAGAAAAAAGTTTAAAACAGTGTTTTAAATCCCTGCTTTAATATTAGGAAAATATGAAAAATAAATGAATAAAATTAGGAAAATATCAAACTAAGTTCAAAGTTAGAGGGAGTAAATAATAAAGCTATAAGCCAGAAACAAAGTGAACACAAAATTAAAGAAAATTAAAAAATCCAAAATTTGTTTTTTTTAATTATTAAAATTGATTAACTCTTAGACTGATATAATAAAGAGAAAATACAAATTACCAATATCAGGATTGATGCAAGTTTTTTAACTACGTAGATTTTAAAGGATAATGGGAAATATTATTTACAATTTTATGGCAAAAAGTTCAGCTTAAATGATATAGATGAGCTCCTTGTAAAACTAATTTAGCAAAACACATGATTAAATAATAAATATGTGAATGGGCTCCATAATAAGTAAATTGAATCCATTATCAAAAACCTTCCAAGAAAGGAAAGCACAGACCTAAACTCAGATCTTAAAAAAAATTTAGGAAAAATACTAACTCTACACAAGGTTTTGAGAAACAAGAGGTAGGGGAAAGAAGTTTCAACTCATTTTTGACACGAATATAAATAATTCTGACACTAAAACTTCTCAAAGAAGTTTTGAGAATTTGAGAAATGAGTATATAGACTAATATCTTGCACTAACACAGACACAAAACTTCCTTAGCAATTTGTTAACCAGTTACTGAACAATATATAAAATGGCAAATACATCGTGGTCATTGAAATTTACTTTCTGGAATATAAGTTTGGTTTAACATGTATAAATCAACCCAGGCAGTCACTCCAAATAACAAATAAGAAAATTCATCTAATAATTTCAAGATATATAGAAGATTTTTTTTTTTAATATTTACTTTTGAGAGAGAGAGTACAAGTGGGGTAGGGGCAGAGAGAGAGAGAGCACAGCTGGGTAGGGGCACAGAGAGAGAGAGAGTTCTCTGTGACTCGGATGCTTAACCAATTGAGCCACCCAGGCGTCCCGCAAAAGAATTTTTGAAAAAAATTATATCAATTCATAATTTAAAACTCTGAGAAAAATAGAAATAGAAGACACCTTCCTCAAATGGATAAAATGTCTCCGGACAATACTCATTTCTAAAATCAGTTGTGGATGTTGACTATCTTTCCTCTAGAAACCAGAAATAAGGCAAAGATGCTCACTCTTTCTAATCAACCTTGCAATCCAGACTATTTTGTTCCATAAGACAATGAAACATTAAGATTGGAAAGGAAGAAGTAAAATTGTCTTTGTTCACAGAAGACGTGCTTGAGTGGACTATCCAGTAACATCTACAAAAAGAATGATTTAGGGAGGGGCACCTGGGTGACTCAGTCAAACATCCCACTTTTGGTTGATTCTTGGTTTCCGCTCAGGTCATGATTTCACAGTTCCTGAGTTCAAGCCCTGTGTTGAGCTCTATGCTGACAAGGCAGAGCTTGCTTGGGATTCTCTGTCTCTCTCTCTCTCTCTCTCTCTCTCTCTGCCCTTCCCCTGTTTGTGCTCTCTTTCTCTCTCTCAAAATAAATAAATTGGGGCACGTGGGTGGCTCAGTTGGTTAAGCATCTGACATCGGCCCAGATCATGACCTCATGGTTCTTGAGTTCGAGCCTTGCATCAGGCTTTGTGCTGAAGGCTCAGAGCCTGGAGCCTGCTTCAGATTCTGTGTCTCTCTCTCTCTGCCCCTCCCCTGCTCACCCTCTGTCTTTCAAAAATGAAGAAACATTTAAAGAAATGTTTTAAATAATATAAATAAATAAAAATAAATAAACTTAAAAAATTATTTAGAGCTGTTAAGTGAATGTAATAAGATTGTATGATATAGGCTCTAATTACATAAGTTATGAAATCTTGCCATTTGTAACAACGTGGATGGAGCTAGAATGTATTATGCTAAGCAAAGAAAGTCAGAGAAAGTCAAATACCATATGATTTCACTCATATGGAATTTAAGAAACAAAACAGATGAACATGGGGAAAGGAAGGAAAAATAAGAAAAAAAACAAAGAGTCAAACCATAAGAGACTCTTAAATACAGAGAACAAACTGAAGGTTGCTGGAGGGGTGTTGGGTGGGGGGATCGCCAAGATGGATGATGGGCATCAAGGAGGGCACTTGTTGGGATGAGCACTAGGTGTTACATGTAAATGATGAGTCACTAAATTATTCTCCTGAAGCCGTTAATACACTATATGTTAACTAACTTGGATTTAAATAACATTTTTTTTTAAAATTACATATTTTTAAACATAACTGGAAAAATTTAAAAATATAAATTTAAGAACACAATATAATTTGCAATACCATAAAAAAACTACTTAGAGGTAAATTTATTGAAATATGTGCAAGAAAACTAAGGGGCGTTTGGGTAGCTCAGTTAAGTGTCTGACTTTGGCTCAGGTCATGATCTCATAGTTTACAAGTTCAAGTCTTGGATCAGGCTCTTTGCTGTCAGCATATAGCCCGCTTGAGATCCTCTGTCCCCCTTTCTGTCTGCCCCTCCCCTGCTCATGCTTGCTCTTGGTCGCTTGCTCTTTGTCTCAAAAATAAACATTAAAAGGGGTGCTTCAGTGGCTCAGTTAATTAAGTGTCTAACTTTGGCTCAGATCATGATCTCACAGTCTATGAGATTATTGGACTCTGTGTGAATTTTTGAGGAAAATTATATACACACACACACACACACACACACACACGCACGCATATGTATAAACCTATATTTTTATTCATATACATAATATATATTTTCTGATTCACAGACATCCTTTGTACTTTATACCTACCAAAACAACTAAAATTAAAGGCTAATGACATAACAGCA